TCTTGTTACGTGGAGGAGCAAGAAACAAAAGGTGGTGTCTAGATCTAGTGCTGAGGCCGAGTATCGGGGAATGGCCCATGGCGTATATGAGTTACTATGGTTGAGAAGATTGTTGAAAGACCTTGGTTTTGGGCCTAATAAACCCATGGAGTTATATTGTGACAATACGGCTGCGATTGCAATTGCTCATAATCCTGTACAACATGACCGTACAAAGCATGTGGAGGTTGATCGAAATTTCATTAAGGAAAAGTTGGATGCGGAGATTGTGTCCTTCCCCTTCATCCGTTCAGAGTATCAGTTAGCTGATGTTCTTACGAAAGCTGTTTCTACAAGTATCTTTCTCAACTCGCTTGACAAGTTGGGCATGCGTGACGTCTTTGCTCCAACTTGAGGGGGAGTGTTAGCGAGTAGAGCATATCCTATTCTATTTGGGTTTTATTTATTTTTCCTTTTGTGTAGATATTATGTAATTAGGATTCCACTTATTTCCTAATTAAACCCTACTAGGGTTTGTAACCTGTATTATAAATACCTCCTTTCGGAGAATGAAATATATCTGAAAATATTCTACCCATATTATTTGACTGTTGTGAGCTAGGTCTATAATTTGAAGCATTTGCCAGGTGCCATTGGTCTTTGAACATCCGATGTCGCCATAAAATCTGTTGGATCGCAAAGCAAGGACACACAAGGTGGATATGTTCTTCAAGAAGCATGGAAAAGTATCCATTATTTGATTGTTTCCAAGGTTTAGAATCTCTAGATTTGTGCAACTGGCTAGAGATTTTGGAAGCTGGCCTTTAATCTGATTCCTTACGAGGTCTAGAGCTCTTAAACCACAATATCCAGTAAATCTGTTAGAAAGAGTTCCATTAAGGTTGTTTTTCCTTAAAATAAGTACTCTAAGACTCTTCATTTCAGTCAAGCATTGGGGAACCATACCACTTAAAGAGTTATTGGACATATCAAGAACCTCATAACTTGCATTGCATATTGATACTGGAATGAGCCCATGCAAGTTATTGCTTGAAAGAGAGAGGAACACAGTGGAAGCTAGGAAATCACCAATTTCAGTTGGTAAACTAGAGCTGAAACGATTTTTTGAATAATCCAGATAACGGGCACTTGGTGAGAAAAATGGGACTTGCCCCTGAAGTTGGTTTGAATGAAGGTCGAGAACAGACACACTGGAATATTTAGGTAAAGGCCCTTCGAGAGTTGAGAAGGAGTTGGATGAAAGATTTAGCTGAGAAAGAGAACTTATCCCCCAAATCCAATTGGGAACCATGCCTTGAATCTGGTTTTCTGAGAGGTCCAAACGTTCTAAATAGATGTGGTTTCTCAAGAAATTTGGGAATCTTCTCAACTTGTTAGAAGCCAAGTTCATATCCTGAATTTGAGTAAAAGAGGAAGCTGAGGAACTGGAACCATTATATAAAACCAGCAAGCTATTGTGGGAAAGATCAATGGTCGAAAGATTTCTCAGTTGCTGAGGACCATTAAAAGGAAAGCGAGTGAAATTGTTTGAAGAAAGATCAAGTGTATAGAGCCCTCTGAAACTCAAGATAGACACAGGTATTGGTCCTTCAAGGGTAATTAAGTTGGAAGAAACGTTAGGAAATTCATGGAGTTGACCAGAAAATTGATTGTGGGAAAGTAGTAGTTCCTTTAACAAGGGAGAAGAAAAAATAGATGATGGAATACTCCCATTTAGGTGATTGAATTCCAGTTGGAGATGTACCAGATTAACAAGGTTTTCCCAGTGAATAAAGTCTATCGGACCATGAAACCTCTGTGATGGCATGTACAGGCTAACCAATTCTGTCAGGTTTTCCATTGACTTTGGGATTGATCCAGTGAAGCTGCAACCTGAAAGATCTATCGTGGACAACATTTTGAGGTTTCCAATAGAGTTGGGCAAGAAGCCTGAAAATTTTGTCCATCTTAGTACCAAGGATCGAAGAGATCCATTCTTTGGAAATTCTGGCAAGGAGCCATCAAGATTCAAATTATGCGAAAGGTCGATATTTTGTAGAGTAGGTACCTGAAAGATCTCTTTGGGAAATGTTCCTTGCAACTGACAATATTTGAGACTCAAGGAAGACAACTTTGAAAAATTGGCAAAGAATTCTGGAATTGGAGCAGAGATACTGTTAAAATCCAAGCTCAACACCGTCAGGTTTGAAAAGTTTGCAAAGAATGCTGGTATTGGACCGGAGATATAGTTAAAATCCAATCGAATCACGGATAAAGACTGAAGTTTAGCCAGGGATTGATCAGTAGGACCTGAGAGACTAGTTCCAGACATGCTCAACACCCTCAGGTTTGGCAGTGAAGATGATATTGCTTGGCACCACTGAGCCCCCTGTGTTGATATATCTGTTGGAAAAATGGCTCACATTAAGTATGCAAGTGAAGGAGGAAGCGACCGGTCGCTGGGTATTTGCGACCGGTCATTTTGAAGCAGATTTGAAGTCTGGAGGTGAAGCTGGAAGTCGCGAAAAGCGACCGGTCGCCAGGCTGCTGTGCTGTTTTCTTCCACGCGTTTTTCAAGAGGTCTTCACATGTGTTGGTTCCCTACCTAATCCCTCGGGCCTCTAAGATGTGTTATGTGTTCTAGGAGGTCTAGCAAGGTGCTGGAAAAGCTGGAGCACCATTGAATGAGGATTGTTGACTTGTTTCAAAGAGTACCTACCTTATAGCTCTAGAGAGGGTGGCCGAAGTTGCAGCTATCAATGCCTAGCCTTTGGTCTGCCCAAGTTGTGGTCCATGTTAGGTAACCAAGGGCAGAACGTGGGAGGAAAGAAGGAGTCTCTTCTGAAGTCCAAAGGCTTGTGTATTAAAGGGAAGAGGAAGCAAGACAGCAAGTGTGGTTAATCTCAAAGTTGTCAAGTAGCTGGGAGCTATTGTGTTCAAAGGGAGGTTATCTCACCAAGGGAGGAAGAGAGAGAGGGCAATCAGTTCAAGAGAGAGCTGAGTTGAGTCTTGAGTAGTCTAGACACCAAAGAAGGGAAACACTAAGGGTTGTGAGAGTGTTCACAAGTGTATCAAAGTGTTGAGCAA